CATACACATACTAGTTTGGAAGTTCTTAGTCAGCAGCAGCTTCTGTGTATAATAACCCACTTTAGTGCGTAATGGTAGACAATTATACCATAAAATCTGATTATCATCATACACATACTAGTTTGGAAGTTCTTAGTCAGCAGCAGTTTTTGTGTATAATAACCCACTTTAGTGCGTAATAGTAGACAATTATACCAGAAAATCTGATTATCATCATACACATACTAGTTTGGAAGTTCTTAGTCAGCAGCAGTTTCTGTGTATAATAACCCACTTTAGTGCTTAATAGTAGACAATTATACCAGAAAATCTGATTATCATCATACACATACTAGTTTGGAAGTTCTTAGTCAGCAGCAGTTTCTGTGTATAATAACCCACTTTAGTGCGTAATAGTAGACAATTTTGGTAGAAAGAAGAAATTGTCCAATTTCCATAAAGAGCAGTAAATATCAACTGGTTTGACAGAACATTAACGTTTCTCACTTCCAAACCATAACTAAACTGATAGCAGGTTTAAGAAAATTAGTCTAATGATCGTTAACTAGTCTAATGATCGTTAACTAGCGCTCTTCAGTATTTTAACATAAATGTTATTACATAACTATCTTGATTAAACCTGAAAATACTGATTAGATTTTCAAAAAAGTTACTTAGCTTATTTTTTTTTATTTGAGTATTAGATAATATAAATGACTTCTAAATCAGTTATAAGAACAGTACGAATCAGATAACTGATATGGATGTTATGTCTATAGGGGATGCACAATTTTTTAATTGACTTTTTAAGTTTCTTTTATTTTAGTGCAAGATTACACAATAAGCTGTTTGAACTCTGTCCACCGACAAGGAGTAGAATACCGGATTTTGGCGCTGTAAGTCCTTAACTCACCAGTTACTCACCGAGTGATTGACGAAAATTAAAGACCGACAACTAAATATATTACTTATCATAAATAATCAAAGTAAGTACGCATTTATCACTGGAAACTTTTCTATTGATTTAGTTTGAGGGCTTATAAAGCTAAAAATCAGGTTTTGATATCCGTGGTGTAACTTTGTGCTTAACAACAAACAAACAAACTACAGATGGACATAGTATTAGGGATATTCTTACTTTTCTCCCTCAATGGCTGAGCGGTAAATCTGACGGCTTATAAAGCTGAAAATCTGGTTTCGATAGTTGCTAAAAATCAAGTTTGATATCCGTGGTGTAACTTTGTGCTTAACAACAAACAAACAAACTACAGATAGACATAGTATTAGGGATATTCTTACTTTTCACCCTCAATGGCTGAGCGGTAAATCTGACGGCTTATAAAGCTTAACAACAAACAAACAAACTACAGATGGACATAGTATTAGGGATATTCTTATTTTTCACCCTCAATGGCTGAGCGGTAAATCTGACGGCTTATAAAGCTTAACAACAAACAAACAAACTACAGATGAACATAGTATTAGGGATATTCTTACTTTTCACCCTCGATGGCTGAGCGGTAAATCTGACGGCTTATAAAGCTAAAAATATGGTTTCGATAGTTGCACAGGGTACAGTACAGGTAGCCCCATGTGTAACTTTGTGTTTAATAACAAACAAATAACAAACCATTTTACTTTTTTTCCCATAGAGTATTTCTGAATAACCGTAACAAACATAAATAGTTTAAACTACTACTTACTACTTTAGTTTCAATCTAAATAGCTGTCTTCATTGACTTCATTCTCACTTGATCCTCACTGGCTTCTTTAACCAGAATTTCACTGTTTCCAGTTCTATTAGTGAGTGTAATCACAGCTGCCAGATTTCGCTCCTCATTTCATTTCCCACTGTTACTCTTTCTCTACTGTTACTGTTCAGGTTCTCATCGTGGAGGAGATGGAGATTATAGGCCCAGTAACAAATTTAGCTGCGTTGTCCATGGTGATGGACTTTCATTTTATCTTTACGTTACTTAATGCAGTCCTATTGTGTTTTCAAATAGCTGTTGTAAGTAGAAAGCTGAATACTCGGGTAAATGTTACTGCCCTCCCCCAATGATGTTAACTTTAGAATTACCAATGGAGTAATTTATGCTCCAAATGGCTTCTGAATTCTTGAATTTGTTGGTTACACAGTCCCTTGTATCACGAGTCAGATAAAAATTTAAACAAAAAACCGTTAATATTGTAATTACTATTACTAATCACTACTGGAGTATACTGTGTATTTCATGTAGTCAGTTCTTCATACTAAGTATTGTAACAGGACAACTCATAAAATGTAAACAAAAACCGTTAATGTTGTAATTACTATTACTAATCACTATTGGAGTATACTGTGTATTTCATGTAGTCAGTTCTTCACACTAAGTATTGTAACAGGCCAAATCATTACCTCACCGGTAGTGAAAGGAATCTAAGCAGGTCGTTAATTTGTGGGCAATGATGCTAGCTGACTTCCTTGCTTCACACAGCTTTGTATTCAGACAAGTCACACGGTACCTTTTTAGTATTCCAAGGATGAACCTAGTACACAGTAACTTGATCTCCGCAGTAACTGGAGATTCGAGGACATAGGATTTGTTGTATGTGGAAATAAATTAAAGAGATTCGGTAAGAACTTGAGTAAAAACAAACAGAATACAGAAGAACAAGATACAAGTGGTTGAGTATTGCGTTGCGTAAGTTAAATTAAAATTGAAAGATAAGAGTGAACTGTTTGTATCAAATGAAAAACTGTAATTGATGAAAGAAAAAACGAAGACTAACTTTGTAGATGAAATAAAAATAAAACACACATGATCAGAGGTACTTCGAGAAATAATGAAACAATGACTGGACTTCAACAGTGAGTCTTTTCTCCTTTAAGATTAATAACGAAACAGCTTTAAAATGACCACTGCGTTTACAAGAAGAAGAAAAAAAAGAATCACAAGAACCTGGAAGTATCTCTTCTCCTTCCAACAGCTGTAGAGCATTCCCACATAAACAAAATGATGTATGAAACAATTACAACTATCTTATGAAACAGTAGATAGTTCAAAATAAGAGCTATGTAAAAAATATATATATATATATATATATATATGTGTGTGTGTGTGAGTTGTGACAGGCGGATGCGTGGTATGTGGATACCACACAACTGCTGTGTATGTGTTGGGCGTAAGCTCAAATGTTTTCATGGTTGCGTCCACTTTTCAGTCTTCTAATATTCTTCATCTTGTAAAGGATGAAGCAAAAGTCCTGGTGGCTGGAAATTGTCGTCCTCGTACATTGTTCTTCAAATGTTTACTGGGATAATTTCTGCAAAATGTCTTAATAGTGTTGCCTTGTATTCCTGAAGATATGAACTCCCTCAGACAACAAAAGTTTGTTGTATTCAAGCTTTCTAATAGGATATTAGATTAGCTGTATCAGGCAAAGTACTCCACGCATGCGTATCCGGTTGTGATGAGTTAACACTATGAAAATCCATTTGTTTGCAAAAGTTTGATTACAAAATAGTCACCAGTCTCTTTAAAGTTCATTTGTTTCTTGCTGTAAAAACTCCAGATTCTACCCAGTACAAAGGCTTGGGCATTGTGGCCATTTTTTCTTACTGTTAAGTAAAACATATTACACCAGTCCATAATTCTAAGAAAATCTTCATTTGAGACAAGTAACTGATCAAACAATAGGTTCACAACTCGACTGTAGATTTCTCTGTCGAACGAAATGTCTATTATTTTATAGATTATTTTCAACGAATTACTTCTAACCAATTCCTATAATGAGGGTAGGATCACCCATTTTCTAAGCTTTTCTTCAATATGTCCACTTACTACCATTTACGATTCGCAATTAACACACTTTCCCGTATTTGAAGCTTCCAAATACATGAGAAACATTAGAAGGGATCTAATCATTTTAAAGTACAAACTGATTTCAATTATACACACTAGATCTACTCGTTAAGTCTATAATAAATTCTAGAAAACCCTCTATTTAACAGCAAGTTATTAGACCCATATAAAAACATTAATCTGTGACGGATTTACTATTATATATGTATTTTAATATCGATACTTGTTTAAGTTAAATTTATATGTAGAAATGTGCATAACTTATACTGTTAAATCTGTATTGCGAAATTCCTGCCTACTCTCTAAAATTGTAGAAAAGTCTCGAGTGTAAGAATCAACAATATATGTAATGGCTGGAGACGGCTTGAATGGGTAATGAAGAAAAACTTTAATATAAGTTTAACGTAACAGCAAATGTACAACATTTCGACAAGGTTTTGTACAACTTGTACCTGATGATGACAAAACCTTGTCGAAACGTTGTACATTTGCTGTTATATTAAAGTTTTTCTTCATTACCCATTCAAGCCGTCTCCAGCCATTATTAGTCTCAAAGTGGGTTCCTCGTCATCGAACAACAATATATGTGTGTACGTAAACACTGGTGTATCGCTTATATTGTTGAGGAAGCTGAAATTTCGAAAATTCTCCTCACGCCTATAAATATAACCAACGCCACCTGCCAAAAGGCAGTATATATTATTGGTTTGCTATAGTTGATGTGCTATACACCTAGGAAGCTGTAACTGTGATTATTATAACGCTTATTAATCGAGAACTTCAGATATTTGACCAGGAACATTTATAAATTTCGAACATTACAAACCATCTAACTTCAGTGGATTCACCTTGGACGTTAATATTTTTACGAAAACATTATCTAACTTCGTCGGTGGAAAAACTCGACGTGTGATCGGTGAAGAGAGAAGAACACAGAGCTAGCTAGCTCCATGTTAAATGAATTGTATCTACATCAACTCGAAATTAATTCGTTCATCGTGAACCCTCGATAAGATATCAAGGACGTTCCAAACTAGAAAGAAGTTTGTACATAGATCATTATTTGTAATAACCGTTATTGTAAATTGTATTATTTTTTGTATGTTAAAATATATTTGTATTAAAAAAGAAACTGTGTATCAATCTTGTTGGGAAATATTATAAATTAAAACTACATTTATTTACCTTCTAAATCTAAATTACAATTTAACTCAGTTTTAGGCTATTTGAAATATAATACGTAACATAATAATCACAATAGACTAAATCATAATTTTCTAGAGAATGAAACCTTTGAAAATAGCTACTAAGTAGTGCATAAGTTGTCATAAGTATTTCATACGTTGTGGACACGCCATAAAAGTGACTATCAAGCCCATTATTTGGTTCAAAGAGCCGGACAAAGCCATTGTTGCGATGTGTGTTACTTGCTGACTATCTTTCCTGTGGTCAGTAGCTCAAAATTAGGGACGACTAGATGTCAACGTATCTCTGACCTGTCCATTTCAAGTGTTTCAAATAACGTTTATGCTGAAAATTCCTATTTTATATTTTTGACCCTATTGGTTAATAATAAAGCAACAAAAAGAAATTGCAACGAGTAATCACATGAGTAAATACTTATTTACTTTTAGACTCTGTAGTGCGAAACTATAAAAAAAAACATATTTATCATTATTTACACAGCCATAGACACTGTAATGTGAAATGAAAATAAAACATGCTATGATAATTTTCATGTCTCTAGATACTATAATGTGAAACCACAAGAAAACATACTTATGATGGTTTAAACTTCACAAATCCCCGTCACACCAAACATGCTCGCCCTTTCAGCCGTGGGGGCGTTATAATGTGACGGTCAATCCCACTATTCGTTAATAAAAGAGTAGCCCAAGAGTTGGCGGTGGGTGGTGATGACTAGCTGCCTTCCCTCTAGTCTTACACTGCTAAATTAGGGACGGCTAGCGCAGATAGCCCTCGTGTAGCTTTGCGCGAAATTCAAAACAAAACAAACAAACTTCACAATAAATAATTTTCAACGTAGAACTTACTTGCTATAGCTTGTAGGTTGTTGTTATAAATCGAGATTTAGCTGGTGCATAAAATGCAAAAAGTTGTATATAAAATGTCACGGAAAGATGGAAAATTTCCAAAAAAAAATACTGTTTTTAAATTCATATCTCTAATTGTTCTTTTTTAGAAAGTGGTTATTTGAGTGTTTGTGGATATACATTTAAAGTGTTAGTGATATTTTTATTTCTGGTTTTCTCATTCTTAACATTATATCAAACACGCAGATAAAAGCAAAAAAATTGTTGGTATTTTAGAATATAAGTAACAGTAATTATTTCCATTCTTCTTATTTATTTTCTGGGTTAAATACTAAAAACTGTCTTCTTTTCACAAAAACAGTTTACTAATAATATCGTAGGGCATATTGTGTTACCTATGAATGGAATGAAACATCCCACACTTGTTTTTATTTTCTGGGTTAAATACTAAAAACTGTCTTCTTTTCACAAAAACAGTTTACTAATAATATCGTAGGGCATATTGTGTTACCTATGAATGGAATGAAACATTCCACACTTGTTTTATCAAGTCTAGCTGTTGTCATTTTGCTGGAGTTAATTTGTCAACTGATGTAATTGATATAACTGATATAAGGCTATAAAGCACTTGTTGATTTGATGATATATATGTATATGTAGCAAAACCAATATATTGATAGTGAAATTGAAAAACTACAATAGTGACTCACCCAACCTTCATCCGTAGACTATGATTATTAGATGACAAGAGCTATAAGCTCCTTACCTCGATAGTTCAGTAACAACTGAGCACCAGTCCTCCTTCCTGGGTGGAAGTTGGGTGTTTCACAAATGTATAAATTGTTTGTTTGTTTTCTTTCAGTAACAAGAAAATTTCTACTAGCGTGTTAAGTGTAATATTTTTTAATGGTTTTTAGGGGTGAGTGACAACCATATCCACACCCGGCTGCAGACTGTGGGTGGTAGAACGTTTTGAGATGTTGTGAGTTAAAGCACCCAACACCTACCTGATTTTCCTTACAACTTGTTTTGTTGTTCATCTAAAGTTTTCAGGGATTATGTCTCATAGACAGGATATTCCCAACGCTTATGGGAGCTATTACTGCAGACATTTTCCGTTAATAATTATACCTTTTCTACTTTCTTGTCAAATTTATAATTTTCTTGTTTTGCAGGTTTGTTACTGACGCAAAAATTAATTAATTTTATTTGGACTTGTTTTGTTAAGTATAATAACTATGAATTTTGTTGTGAGTGACAGCTTTTGAGTTTCACTTTCATTATTCTGCGGACTTACAACGCTAGAATCCGGGTTTCGATACCCGTGGTGGGCAGAGAACAGATAGCCCATTGTGTAGCTTTGTGCGTAATTATAAACAAACAAAAACTTTCAGTGTTTTGATTTTGCTTTCTATATTTTTCATGATCATTATATAGCATGGCCAGGTGGGTAGGACGCTCGACTCGCAATCTGCGGGTCGCGGGTTCGCGCCCCCATACCACCAAAAACATGCTCGCCCTTTTAGCCGTGGGTCAATTCCACTATTCGTTGGTAAAAGAGTAGCCCAAGAGTTGGCGGTGGGTGGTGATGA